GTGTGTGTGTGTGTGTGTGTGTGTGTGTGTGTGTGTGTGTGTGTGTGTGTGTGTGTGTGTGTGTGTGTGTGTGTGTGTGTGTGTGTGTGTGTGTGTGTGTGTGTGTGTGTGTGTGTGTGTGTGTGTGTGTGTGTGTGTGTGTGTGTGTGTGTGTGTGTGTGTGTGTGTGTGTGTGTGTGTGTGTGTGTGTGTGTGTGTGTGGATATATGTAAACCTCTTATAACTTTCGAACGGCTTGACCGATTTTATCGCGGTTGGTGCCATTCGAAAGGACTTGCCCAAACTTAGATTTTGCATATACTTTGGAACGATTTGGACCGGTAGATTTTGAGAAATTGTAAAAAAACTACAAAAAAAAATTTTTTCAAAAGTTGTATTTTGGAATAACTTTTAAACGGCTCTACCGATCAATTTTAAAAACTAATCAGCTTTTAACTTTAAAAAACCACGTCGATCGCCGCCAGTCCGGTCAAAATCGGTTAATTCGTTCGTGAGTTATCGATGACGAAACAAAAACAAAAAAAGCGTTTTTTCGGAATTACTCCGAATTTTTCCACTCTGTCGATATAAACTCAAAGATTTTTTATGATGCTTAAAAAACTGCGTCGAATGCCGCCAACCGCGTGAAAATCGGTTTATTCATTCAAAAGTTATTGCGATTTGAAAATTTTAAAAATAGTGTTTTATCAAACTTCTATCAAACTTTTGAACTCGAAGAGCTCAAAGGCATACAAAAGCTATTTTTTTGAGCTTTTTGCAATTTCAAGCGTTAAGGTATAGAATTGGCGGGAAGTTGCAGGGATAGCCTTCAGGGTCAACCATTTTCCTAATTTTTTTTGTAGTTTTTTCGAGATTTCTCAAAATCTACTGTCACGAACGGAGTTTGTGATGGGGCGTTAAGGCTAAGAAATAATTTCAAAACCCAACCACTAGTTCCGCACGATAACTAAATTAATTTTTATAGTTTTATACGAGTATATAGAGCGGTCCATATACCGTATTGTAACGTTCTAGGAAATCTTTTTTTTATTATCTAATATAATTTTCCTCGAACTACTCCGGGGAGCATTTCGGTTGCTTCGCTGGCGATTATCGCCAGCTAGGTAACGGAAATCTCTCGCGATAAGGAGCCGTCGCGACCCGCGGTATGCCCAAACATCAGAGTCAGCATGAGACCCGGGCCTTAACGACTCTCTCAGAGGAAACCTGAGAAGCATCATGGCGTCGATCTTAAGTTGTTATAATTAATCCGGGGAGACAATGCCAGTTCTAGTTGGGAGTTAATGAAGCGCGGACATGTAGGCTTGCCTCTCCTCCTATCATTATTCTTTTCTATCTTCAATTAATTAATAAACCTAGCATTTAATCGAATAAAGCTTCACGATTATTTACGGCACCCAACTCCGTGTTAATCAAAATTAATAGAATTTACAATTATAAGTTCTGAATATGGAGTCCATCGTTAGGTAGCCAAGGGAATTTCAAACGGTAAGAATTTAGTGATAACTGAGTAAGTTCACCTGTGAGGAGGCACTCGGGGTCTATTGACCCCCGCCCACCACCTACCTGAACTTAATTAATAATATCGACCGATTTCGGGAACGTAACAGTGGTGCTGAGATCAGGATCTCAGGTAAACCTACTCAATAATAGTGAATTAAAATGGAAAATCTGTTACAATTTTCGTGTCTGTGATGTGGAAGAAATTTTTTTTTTTTTTACAAAAATGGGCAATTGAAATAAATAAAAAGTGCTATAATAATTAAAATTTCTAACAGTGCTAACCGTGGTGAAAAATCTAATCTAGATTTTTTTTTGTCGGATATTAATTACGGTAGGTTTACACCTGCCGTAGGTAAGAAGAAAATATTTAATGATTTACGTTGTTTCACAAAACAACCTAAGCTTTAAAAATTTAATAAATCGAACAAAATGAATTTAAGTCAAAATCATCGCAATTAGCACCAAATTTTTTTTTTTTCATATAAATAAAAAGAGTTGTTACGGAATAAATTATTTTTTGTATATTTTTATATATACATATCTTGAACAACGTAAAATGTCAAATTTTACTACTAGAATCACCGCGAATTTTTTTTATGTACGTAAAACTTAAATATCGCCAAAAATTTTTTTTATATGTTATAAACAAAAATGAACAAATTGGTTATTAAAATTCGCCGTAGAATGATCCGGCGTAAATATTAGAAAAGTAAATATTAGAAATTAAATATAAACTAGTAATAATTCCGTTGATCGATCAACTGTCTAACGAGTTAATATCTTCCGTCGGGCCGGAAAAATTGGAGTAGCCATCGGACGGCACCTGTCGATGTCTTATTCTATGATACCGCATGCAATACGGAAAAATTTTTTTACATACGTCTGGATTATAGAATAACAAATGAAAATACGATGTCGGGAAAATATTCAATCACAAATATTTCGGAATTAAGCAATTTAATTTCAAATTATAAAATCTAACTTAACTAGTGCAGTGAATTGCGCATTAATTTACGAGCTGATGAGGAAAACAGACTTTAATAATCAAATGCGTTTAAATAAATTACGAAAATAATTTTAAAATTTAATTTTGAACATATAGATCTCTCCAAATAACATGCGTTCAATAAAAATTTTCTGTCAAGTCATGAGGACGGCATGATCTGTTAATTACATCTAACGGGTTCTACTTTAAACTGTCAAGTAAAAGGAATATCAAATAAATTTGAAAAATTTTATTATTCTTTATTATAGTTACTAGTATCGAATAAGGTCAAAGAATTTAACTCTACAAAAAAATTTTTTTTTTCTTTCGCACAAATTTGTTTTAAAATAAATCAATCATAAATTAGTTCTTAATTTATTTGTTGACGACTGTTGTTGCGCTTAATAAACGATCACGATGCCGGACCTGACAGAAAAGGAACTCAGAGAGGCAAACGAACGTCTGGAGTTACAGTGCCAAGAGCACAGTAAAAGAGAAGCGGACTTAAATGCTTTGGAAACTCTTTTAAAATCACGTTTAAACGATGTAGCTATTTTGGAGCAAAAACTTTATTTACGTGAAGCGAATATAATGGATCGTGAGTCCACGTGCACCGAGACAGAGCTTGCACTTGAAGAACGCGAGATATTCCTTAAGGCACGCAAAGTACAAGTGGCTGAAGGACGCTTAACGGAAAATATATGCGAACAGGAACGAATTTTGAGACAGCAAGAAAGCGATTTAGGACACAGGGAAGAAGAGTTTGCAAAATTACGTCGCGAATCGAGTGAAATCATGCAGAAAACCCAGCAAAACTTAAATGCACGCGAATGCGTCCTCAAAGCAAGGGAACAAGATCTCGATGAACGAGAAAGCTCCCTCGAGGAACGGGAACGTTCGGTAGCCGCGCGCGAGCAAGAACTTGATGCTTTTCGGGAAGAGTTGGATCATAAAGAAGAAGAAATCGAGATTCAAGACGGCGAACTGCAAAAAGCAGCCCAGACTCTTCAAGACTGGGCCCGGGAAATAAAAATAAAAAAATCAACCCCGCCTAAATCGCCTTCCGCAGTAAAGCTTCTTAAAAACCAGATCGCCGAGCTTCGCATACCAACGTCGGAACCGTCTCCAGGAGACGGTGACACCTCAAGCGCCGACGGAAATGAAAAGAGTGCGTTAAAACCTCCGATAACCGAGACAGTAGATGACGCAAAAATTTCTATTAAAGATGCTCTGTCTTACGTGCCTACGTTTGACGAAACGAGCGCCACCGTATCTGATTTCATACGGTCTTGCAAACGAGCGTGCTCCATGCTACCGTCGAGTGCGGAATTCAAGTTTTTGACGCTTGTACGCCAAAAATTTGAAGGCGAGGCTCGCACGGCCGTAGAAAATATGGACTATCGTAACATAAGGGATTTTGAAAATCTTCTCAGATCAGTTTTTGACCGTAAGCGATCTGCGAACCAGTACAAAGCGGATATGGAAAATATAATCATGAAATCGGATGAAAACATGGTTTCATATGTTAACCGCGCTCGAACAATTTACCGCGACATCCTAAACGCAGAAAAGTTGGAACGTGGAGACCTGTCGGAACGCGAAACGAAAAAAATTGATAAAGATTCTATTTCTGCTTTTCTAAATGGTATTCCTTCACTTCTCCAAATGCACTGCAAACTCCTCCCGCATGATAACTTAGAACAAACTTACGCATCGGCTATCGAAGCTTTTAAAAATCAGGAAATCAACGCGAAACGATTTAATGAACAGTCACCGACTTCAGTGACTCAGCCGGGACCGACAACCGTTACTGTAGCTCATGTTCGAAGCGATTCGGCTAACAACGATAATAACAAAAAGAAAACCGGTAATAGTAAGAAGCATCTTAGATGTGAAGCTTGCGGTAAACGCTATCACACAGCAGATGAATGCTGGAAAAAGCTTATTCCGGGTTTTGTTGCCTTAAATGTGAATAAAAAGCAGTCCAAGCCTTTAAACGGCAACGTGGCTGCCAATAAGCCGAAGAACGTCGCGAAAAATGATAATAAAGGCAGTGGAAATTCGAAGGGGGATAACAACAGCCCGAATGCAGACGAGGACGTTTGCCCGTGCTGTAGAAAATCGAGACACACCCTAGAAACTTGTATTAAATTCGCAACTTTGAGTCAACAACGGTACGGACAGTCGGGAAACTCGAAACTCCCGGGGAAGAACGCAAGCGGGTCCCACGGGAGTCCGAACAGTTCACAAAACCCGCCGAGAAACGCGACTGCCCAGTCCACGTCGGAACTAAGCAGTAATAAATTTGCGGAAAAATAGCGTACCTGCTATCGTAGCAAAAAGTAACGACACCAAAAGCTCAGTAACAATCATGCTCGATACGTGGTCAGAGGTTAATCTAATCAAAATTGGAGCCTTACGGAAGGTAAATCTAATTGATAAAGACTTTAAGCTAGCGCTATCGAGAATTAATAATAAACCAGTTTATACGTTGGGTAAAGCATACGTAGAATTATTCGGTTATGAAGTAGAATTTAATGAAGTGAACGATAAATTTCCTACAGTACACCCCGCATTATTGGGAGCTAAATTCTTTAACGAATACGGTGCGAGAGTCTTCTTTGATTATAAAATATTTACCTTCTATGACGTAGAGGTGCCATTTTTCGAAACAGAGACTGAAGCATTGCCTCCAAACTCAGTTTCATCAATAACTATAGAAACTTCTGATTCGTACGAGCATGGTTATATACCACGTATATACTGTGCCACCGATGTCGAACTTGGTGGTACTTTTGAAACTAATGAAAATGGCCATACTTTCTTAAGGGCTTACAATAGCTCCGATGACGAGATCTTAATTCCAAAACCGGTAATTAACCTGAGACCTCCTTTATGGTTTGATGAAAGCGATTATGCGATAGAATCAAAAGTAATCAAGATAACCGATGATTACTATGGGAAAGCAAATTTAAATTCAAATAAAGTCACTAGAGATAAAACTCGACGGGTCGAGGACACTACGTCCGACGTCAAGAAAAATCCAGTAACTACTAATAATAATCCCGGGCGGTTCGAAGACCTTCAGTCTGACGCCAAGGGAAAGTCAGAAACCACAATATAGAAAACTATAAGATTCGGCGGGTCAAAGACGGTGTGTCTGACGCTGAAAGGAGTTTACAAAGCACAGAGTCAAATAGAGTATTCGCGGTAGCCGAAAACTTAAAAAGGCCAGAGAGAGCACAAACAGTAATTGACTCCGTGCACCTATCTGATGAGTTACCAAACTGGCAAAGAATAAAAATTAAAAATTTGCTTTATAATAATCAGGATCCATTCTATTTAACTGGAGAAATTCTAGGTTATACGAATGAAATCTTACATAGAATCGTTACGACGGACGACAATCCCGTCTTTAAAAAACAATATCGCTTTCCTTCAATCCATAAAGAAGAAATCTCAAGGGAGGTTAAGGAGCTAGAAGAGAAGGGAATTATTAGACTTTCCGAATCGGGTTATTGTTCTCCAATATGGATAGTTAGAAAAAAAGACGATTCTTTCGGCAATAAGAAATGGCGTATGGTAATCGACTTTAGGGATTTAAACGAAAAAACCTATACTAACGTTTACCCTTCGCCGAATATTGTCGAAATAATTGATCAAACAGGTAAAGCAGTTTATTTTTCGACTTTCGATTTGGCAAGCGGGTTTCACCAAATTAGAATTCATCCTGACGACATCCACAAAACTGCCTTCTCCACTCCGCACCAACATTACGAGTTTATGAGAATGCCGTTTGGGCTGAAAAATGCTCGTCCGACATTCCAGAAACTGATGAACAAGGTGCTGATGGGTATGATAGGAAGGGGTGCGTTTGTCTACATGGATGATATTGTAATCTATTCCGAAACTTTTAAAGAACACGTTACTCGTGTCGAAGAACTTTTCGATCGTTTGCGCAAAGCCGGTTTGCAGTTGCAGCCCGACAAATGCCATCTATTTCGAAAAGAAATTGATTATCTGGGTCACATTATATCCGCGGACGGCGTACGGCCAGATCCGAAGAAAACCGACGCGGTCAAAAAGTTTCCAGTACCGAATTCTTTTAAGAAAGTTCGGGAATTTTTAGGTCTTACGGGATATTATAGAAGGTTTATCGATAACTATGCAAAAATTAGTAAGCCACTAACCTCCCTGTTACAAAAAGATGCTACGTTTGAGTGGGGCGAAAAACAAGCCAAAGCTTTCGAGGTCCTTAAAAATAAACTCATCCAAACGCCGATTTTACAATTCCCAGACTTCTCTCGTGAATTTATAATAACAACTGACGCCTGCGACTATGGAATCGGGGCATGTTTAAGTCAGGGTGAAATAAACAAAGATAAACCTGTATCTTATGCGTCGCGTTTGTTAAACTCTGCCGAGCGTAACTACTTCACCATCGAAAAAGAGATGCTCGCGATAATCTATGCGGCGAATAAATTTCGACCATATATCTACGGGAATTAATTCACTTTGGTGACCGATCACCGTCCAGTCACTTGGATAAATTCGGTAAACTCACCAAATTCTCGTATCGTGAGGTGGCATCTGAGCATGGAGGATTACACTTACAAAATAGTTTACAAACCGGGCCGAATAAATTTAAACGTCGATACCCTCTCGCGAAATCCCGTGGACGACCCAGAAGACACGGCTCACGTAACGCCGATTCGTAAAAACGATCCAGATAGAATCGTATCAACCCCGTCTGAGTCGAGCGAAGAAGAACTTTAGGTTAATAAGAAGCGTGTACGAAAACCTTACAACCTTCGCCGAAAAACCCGAGCACTTAACGATACACCCAACTCCAGTTCTCACTCAGAATCGGAGCGTCGAAAACAAAAAAAATCTCCACCGGTTCAGTACGAATTCAAACCTCGTCAATGGCCAGTGCAACCGCCAACTCCAGCACCGCAAAACCCAATCGCGATGGAACCTGGACCATCTACGGCACTTCCAGCGCCTGCTGTCCTCGATGAACAGATTACGAAGACGACAGACGAAGGAGATGACATGATGATCGATTCAGAAAATAATATTGCAGTTGCTGTAGGTGAAGGCAAAAACGAACCTAACAAAAACAATAATCCTATCCCAAAACGATCGACACTGCAACGGCCGAATCAGAAAACACTCCCACCTCCCTCTGATAATAGCTCCAGAGAAACTTCTGCGGACTCGCAGATGGAAAACGAACGAAACCTACGTGGGAGAATCGCGAGAAACACGGTTTCTTCTGGGAATGCCGAAGAAATGACCGACGAGCGTCAGCTGTACACAGACGGTGAATCTTCCGATGACGATCGTCGGTCTGAGGGCGGAGGGGTTGGTGATGACGTGGGAAACGTCCCACCACGCGCGCCCAGACGTCACCCAGCGGTTACACCACAATCTCGCGAAATCGCACCGAATGTCCGCGAGACTCGTGATCGGTTATCAATGCAATCCGATAACATATTAATTTTTGTTAACGTTAAAGGCGAGCCCTGCGATGAGGGTAGTCGCGAACTTTCTGGGGTATTGCAGATACCTAATAATTTACACGACAATTATTGTCGGTCTACGGTAATTAACTATCGAGGAAATAAGCACTGTATTGTGGCTGTGCCTAAATACAGGAATTTGGACCTTAAGTCTGCGGACGATATCTGTGAAACTATAAATAACATCTATAATAATGTTTTCGAACTAGACATACAATCATTTAGTGTTGCAAAAACAAATAAAATTGATGATGTAAATTGGTTGACAATCCAACGAAAATTAATAGAGAAATTTGCAAATACAGCAGTCAAAATTACTATTTGCCTCAATTTGGTTCGCATTCCGTTAGATAATGAAAAATTGCAAATTATCGAAGAATATCACGGGTCAGCTGTAGGTAGTCACAAAGGCATGACCAAAACTTATAAAAGAATTAGACAAAATTTCTTTTGGCCTAACATCAAGAAAGATGTCGTTAACTATGTTCAAAAATGTTTGGATTGTCAATTAAAAAAATTAGTCAGAGTAAAAACTAAGCAACCAATGGTAATCACAGATACGCCAGACGCAGGGTTCGATAAAATTGGGTTAGATATAATGTATCCGACGCATACTTCTGCATCGGGTAATAAATATATCTTAACCATATAAGATCTACTAACTAAATTCTCAATGGCGATTGCTTTGGAGCAGGCAACGGCGGTCAACGTGGCAAAAGCCCTCGTGAACAGGTGGTTTTGTTACTTCGACCCGCCGAAGGCCATACTCACGGATCAGGGTACCAACTTTTTATCAAGTTTACTTAAAAATGTAGCTAAAAAGTATAAAATTAAACAGTACCACACTACTGCCTATCATCCACAAAGCAATGGCTCAGTCGAGCGGTCTCATCATGTGCTGCAAGAATACATCAAGCAGTGCATAAACGAGGAGGAAGACTGGGATGAACTTCTGGATATGGCCTCATTTTCCTACAATGTAAGCGAACATGAGGGCACAGGGTTCACTCCATATCAGTTAGTCTTCGGGAAATTACCCCGTCTCCCTTCTCAAATTCAGCTCATTGAAGAAACAAACGATACGTATGCTCAATACTTAGAACAGCTGTTCAGGCGTATTAAGCAAACAGAAACGGCCGCCGGCGCGAATTTACGTAGATCTAAGGAAATATCAAAACTATATTACGATAGGAAAATAAACCCCTTAGGGGTTAGGCCAGGAACCAGAGTGTTCCTTTTATTAGAGCCTAGAAAAGGTAAAGGAGACCCGAAGTACACTGGTCCTCATGATTTATTAGGGATAGGGGAAAATGAGGTAGCTGAGATTTTGATTAATGGGGTTTCAAAATTTGTGCATGTTAATAAGCTAAGAATATCCCGTATATAATTTCAGATGACCAGTTGGGTGATACTGTTGGTGATCCTTCCCCTTTCACGAGGATTAGTGGGGTTCGACTGCGGCGGATCGTCCATGAATACTTATCATGACATTATCATTAACTGACGTAGGAAAGTGCAAATTCACTGATAGCCCACCGCAGACAGAAAGGGTTAATATCTATCTTTTGCAACCAGCTGAGGTTTCTCATTTACACGATATTGAATGCAAAATTTTTATTAATCGTCATATTCAGCACTGTGGAATGCACTCTCATACGTCAGCTGTCCTCTATGGAAGGAGGGAATATTATTTAAGCATGGATTATGAAAAATGTAAAAAAATGCACGAAACTAACTCGGTCTGGCTATTCGATCGCATTCCGTTTAATGAATTACAAATGAACACTACGAACCATCGCCAAGCTGTGTTAGCGGGAAGTCAAAGCATGAGTGGCGAGTGTCAACCCGGGACATACAGTGACGTGTATGGTACATGGTCTGGTGTTGTCGTAGACGCGTTGTTTAAAATAACGATAAGTGAATACGAAGCCGCGTTGAACAAGAAAACGAACCAGGTAGTGTTATCTTCTGGTACACGATGCGACTCGGAAAAACGTTCGTGTGTGACTAGTGAAGGTGCAACCGCATATTGGAGTGAAATTCCGAAAAACTCTTATCTAATGAAGTACGCGCAACTCTACAAAGGACCAGCTACGATTAAAAGCTTGGATTACGCGCTGCCCATAGAGACTATCGAAACCGAGGATATGGACATCTTCGCGTACATTAACAATAAATTCATCTACGTCGAGAGATTTATCCGGCAACAAATGAATAATCTTTACCGCGATGTGTTGGTGAGAAGATGCGAGTTAGAACGTACCGTGCTTATGAATGCTCTGGCGCTTTCTTCATTAGAATTAATTATTAACATTTAATTACGATCTTATTTCATTTAACTTGAATTAATTATTAACATTTAATTACGATCTTATTTCATTTAACTTGAATTAATTATTAACATTTAATTACGATCTTATTTCATTTAACTTGAATTAATTATTAACATTTAATTACGATCTTATTTCATTTAACTTGAATTAATTATTAACATTTAATTACGATCTTATTTCATTTAACTTGAATTAATTATTAACATTTAATTACGATCTTATTTCATTTAACTTGAATTAATTATTAACATTTAATTACGATCTTATTTCATTTAACTTGAATTAATTATTAACATTTAATTACGATCTTATTTCATTTAACTTGAATTAATTATTAACATTTAATTACGATTTTATTTCATTTAACTTGAATTAATTATTAACATTTAATTACGATTTTATTTCATTTAACTTGAATTAATTATTAACATTTAATTACGATCTTATTTCATTTAACTTGAATTAATCATTAACATTTAATTACAATCTTATTTTATTTAACTTGAATTAATTATTAACATTTAATTACGATCTTATTTCATTTAACTTGAATTAATCATTAACATTTAATTACAATCTTATTTTATTTAACTTGAATTAATTATTAACATTTAATTACGATCTTATTTCATTTAACTTGAATTAATCATTAACATTTAATTACAATCTTATTTTATTTAACTTGAATTAATTATTAACATTTAATTACGATCTTATTTCATTTAACTTGAATTAATCATTAACATTTAATTACAATCTTATTTTATTTAACTTGAATTAATTATTAACATTTAATTACGATCTTATTTCATTTAACTTGAATTAATCATTAACATTTAATTACAATCTTATTTTATTTAACTTGAATTAATTATTAACATTTAATTACGATCTTATTTAATTTAACTTATAAATAATTAAATTCCAATTTCAAATCATTTGACTAATTTCTACACGAAATTATCAGACTCAATTGACTAACATTCTGTTATCAATTGAATATTATTAGCTCTCGCCTTGAGACTATTTATTTAACTAATTAAACATTAGTAGCTCTCACCTTGAGACAATTCATCTAATTAATTGAACATTATTAGCTCTCGCCTTGAGACAATTCGTCTAATTAATTGAACATTATTAGCTCTCGCCTTGAGACAATTCGTCTAATTAATTGAACATTATTAGCTCTCGCCTTGAGACAATTCGTCTAATTAATTGAACATTATTAGCTCTCGCCTTGAGACAATTCGTCTAATTAATTGAACATTATTAGCTCTCGCCTTGAGACAATTCGTCTAATTAATTGAACATTATTAGCTCTCGCCTTGAGACAATTCGTCTAATTAATTGAACATTATTAGCTCTCGCCTTGAGACAATTCGTCTAATTAATTGAACATTATTAGCTCTCGCCTTGAGACAATTCGTCTAATTAATTGAACATTATTAGCTCTCGCCTTGAGACAATTCGTCTAATTAATTGAACATTATTAGCTCTCGCCTTGAGACAATTCGTCTAATTAATTGAACATTATTAGCTCTCGCCTTGAGACAATTCGTCTAATTAATTGAACATTATTAGCTCTCGCCTTGAGACAATTCGTCTAATTAATTGAACATTATTAGCTCTCGCCTTGAGACAGTTTATCTAATTAATTAGATATTACTAGCTCCCTCCGTTCATCTAATTAATTAGATATTACTAGCTCCCGCCTTGGGACAGTACAAATTCAAATTCCTAGCTCCCGCCTTGGGACAGTACAAATTCAAATTATCGATAATTTTCTTTATACGGCGGCTGAGCTCACCCCTATTGCGTTATTGCAACGTAATTTATACACACACACTTACACACATACAACTTACTTGTATAATTTTCATCAAGGAGGTTTTTTCCCAGCCTAGCTGGGTTTTCCTCCTTTGGGGACAAATAAATTCTTCTAAATTGTTCCCCAAAAATTCCAAGTATTATTATTTAATTTCCTAATCCCAACTTTATCATATAATTTAAAATAATTACGGGAATTATCCGCATTGGATAGTTTTCGACAAAACAGTCACGCCTTGTACGCCATCTACGGATGGAGCAGGGTGTTGTTTGCGGCAATATGGGACACTCTGGCAAGCATATTCATTCATCGGCATCACCATCAGAGAAGGAAGAAAGATGAAGAAAGCCGCCAGCCCATGGCGCCTATACCACGCCCAAGGTCGAGTATGTGTATTATCGATGAAGTCAAACATGAAGTCAATGCTACAAAATATCGGCTCCACCCGAAGATTCATCGTATGCGGGAGTGTCCCAGCAAGTGAAAGAACAAATTTGTGGAAACTCTCTAGTGAATGAACATGTGTGTGCTCGTCAAGCAATTGTGGCGCGAAATCGGGATCCGGAAGGTGTGAAACCGGGTAGCCAGATCGACCTGTTATATAGTGAACAGTCTAAGGTTTAAACTGTAATTAGTCTTAGTATTAAAACAACCAAATGTATAAGGTCTTAAGGATATTAATATCGAACAAATGTTATCATTTAGTAAAATTCACTAATAAGTGGTGGTCATCATTAGCTGCGGCACCGACCACGCACTTTATCTAAATATTTTAATCATTACTTTTAATGAAATCTCAGCATCAGTGGGATTAACATATTAACTAGTAGATACACGAGGGTAATTTACAATTTGGTGTTTAAACTTAGTTTCGCACCGATGATCTGGTTGGGAGGTGCTCAGCCATAATAATGTAAGAATAATTATTAATCATCCTCGGATCTTACTAAGACACTGCCTCAGCGGTTGTCTCATATAATATATAATCATTTACGCTATTAAGCGATACGTTTGTACAATAATCATTTTTTCTTTATTATAAATCATACGAATTTATACTATTTTTATACGAGCTTAATAGCAGAATATTAGTATGAAGGCCCAAGCCTATTATATACTAAGTATTTTGTAAGATGCTGCATCTCAGGATCGAAAGGTCTAAAACTAAGATACTCAGGTTGGGAACTCACACGGCTTTAAGAAGCGGTGCGAGTTTCTTAGGTTGGGAGGTGTAACGTTCGAGGAAATCTTTTTTTTTATTATTTAATATAATTTTCCTCGAACTACTCCGGGGAGCATTTCGGTTGCTTCGCTGGCGATTATCGCCAGCTAGGTAACGGAAATCTCTCGCGATAAGGAGCCGTCGCGACCCACGGTATGCCCAAACATCCGAGTCAGCATGAGACCCGGGCCTCGACGACTCTCTCAGAGGAAACCTGAGATGCATCATGGCGTCGATCTTAAGTTGTTATAATTAATCCGGGGAGACAATGCCAGTCCTAGTTGGGAGTTGATGAAGCGCGGACATGTAGGCTTGCTTCTCCTCCTATCATTATTCTTTTCTATCTTCAATTAATTAATAAACCTAGCATTTAATCGAATAAAGCTTCACGATTATTTACGGCACCCAACTCCGTGTTAATCAAAATTAATAGAATTTACAATTATAAGTTCTGAATATGGAGTCCATCGTTAGGCAGCCAAGGGAATTTCAAACGGTAAGAATTTAGTGATAACTGAGTAAGTTCACCTGTGAGGAGGCACTCGGGGTCTATCGACCCCCGCCCGCCACATACCTGAACCTAATTAATAATATCGACCGATTTCGGGAACGTAACAGTATTATTCCCAAAACCTTACTATGATTACAAATAGTGGTTTCGAAATTTGAAAGGATGTTAGGATCTTGCTGACTTCGGCCTCGTGAAGCCTATTCTACTGTTTATGAATTTATGGAAATTAACTCCAAGTAAAATTAAAAGAATGAAAATATTTAAAATGTTAATTTTTTAAGTTTATTTTTATGACAAACTTGTACATTTAAGGAAAAACAAGATAAAGATCATGCATTAAAATGCTAATATGTGTTACAAAAGAAAAATAAAAATAAAATAGATGAATAGGTTACCTTTTCTTGACTTGTTGCTACCTGCTGAGACAACGTAGTAGTATTAGGTAACGATTCGAAAAACACTTTTAGTGATTATTTACTTAATATTAAACTTCGCGTTTCGCGATAAAAAATAAAAAATGAGCTCTTTTTGGCGGAAAATTAGGATTTGATTCATCGCTTTCTTCGACGAATATTTAAATTTGGTCAACGCTTTTCGCGGAAATTAATACACACAAAGAAATAATAAAAAATAAAAACTATTTACTATAATCTGGTTCACGTTTCCGACCAAATAAATTGCTGACTGATCAATGATGCAGCTCTGTGAATTTAATTGTTTTGCCGTGCAAGACTCACGTCTATATTGGTTCGAAGTACTTCGATCACCGGGAATAGAATGCTCTAGCGATTTCAGATTACGTTTGTGCTTTTAAAATTTACAAAAAGCCTAACCATGAACATAAAAATAATGCCCGGAGCACAATAAAAACTGTCAGTCAAACAATAAAAACAAATAAACCAGCGGTCAAACTGTTTGAAGCCTACAATGAAAGCTCAACTGCTGATAAAAAGTAGAAGCAGTACTTCTTGCAAGTTGTAACTATGCACAGAAAAAAAATTTCCAAATGACAAGCAGACGTCAATTTTACCATTTGTACAATAATATAAAAATAAAATTTTTTGTAATTAAAACGATTGATTTATAATAATTTGACTAAGGTTATTGTATTAAAACGAGTCAATACTTCAATTTAAAATTTTAATGCTTCAAAATGCACAATAAAATAAAATTATTCATGTAAGAGTAGTAAATTCAAAAATAAATGGAATTTAAAATGCCTTTTTTTAAATGTTACCGTTTTACGGGCTATGACTTTGAAACGAGTGGTTATACAGACTTCGACCAGAAAGATATTTTTGTCGAGAATTTAATTTCCTACTAAAACCATAAGAAGGATTTTTGAAAAAAAATTTTTTTCATATCGAAAAATCCACTTGAAAAAAAAAAGTGCCATTCGGCAGCCGAAATGGAAGTAGATTAGATCATGAATAGAAAAAAAGCTGGAAAACGGTTGACCCTAAAGGCCATCCCTGCAACTTCCCGCCAATTCCACACCTAAACGCTTGAAATTGCACTTATGACGTTTCTGAGCTCTTCGAGCTCAAAAATACAATTTGTGTGTTATTTTGAGCTCTCCGAGCTCAAAGAATTACCTCTTGTATGCTTTAGAGCTCTTTGAGCTCAGAAGCCTAATAGAAGTTTAATACAACAGTATTTGTTGAATTTTCAAACTACAATCTGTAACAGGGCACTTTGCCCCTGATCGATAAAATCGATCGCGCGTGATAATAATTCGACGCAGCACTGGCGTTTCGATCTTCGGGACCCGACAAGACCCGACTAGTAGTAAGTGGGAGGGGGAAGGTTGAGGTTACTTGGCTGATCGCTCGGCGTGGTGCGATCAGAAGTAGTGAAGTGATTCACCTGGAAGCATCAACGTGCAACAACATCCAGAAGGAAGTCCAACCACAGTCCAGAGTTTCTTCAGTGAGGAAAATTTGCTAAGGTATTCGAACTTCTGTCTCCTTGGTGAGCCTTAGGGTTCACACCCGGCTCACGGAAAATACTACTTCTCATTTTATTTAATTAAATTAATGGTAATTCAATTCGTCTTATAATATTTTACTCAATAATAATTTAACTGTTTGAATTAAATTAATTTTTGTTAGCTTTGAGAACAATTCCTCCAGGGGATTGTTACACCCGAGGAATGTTCCAGACCTCCGGGGTTTAGTCGTGAGTAATCAAGTTATTAATTCAGCTGGTTAATAATAATTAACACCTTTGATTGGAATTAATGAATTCATTTTT